ACGGATCACTTCAATGATCCATTTCTTGTCTAGTGTGTGTGTGTGTGTTAGTTTTTTCCTATTTAGGGTGCATCATTCCAATTATACTATATAGAATGGTCTCGCTCAATCACTAATCACTTCTTAGTTATTTTACAGTACATCATATCATGTGGTAAACCCAGCAATAGCCCTCCAACTTTTGATGATTTACAACAGTCATTTCCAGTACAAAGTTGGCGAATTTCTCCTCGGGTTTACCACATTACCTATTGTCAAGTCCTGCTTGATGGGCCATGACGTTTTCACCAGTCGTCGCAGGTGCAAGACCTGCCGATTCGGATGAGTAGCTACCTCAGTGATCTCAACCTGTGTAGCCCTGGATTTCTGTGCCCGAATTGGTCGGAAAATGGGACCTCCTGAATGGCCATTTTCATTGGAACATGATGCTTGACCAAAGTCACCCTTCACCCCATTTTGCGACAAAACCATCTAATTTCGCCCGTAGAGAAACCTTGGTTGATTAGGTCTGATGCTGATGATTGTTCAATACTTTGCAAACACTATGCAGATACCAGGTCCATTTTCTCCCTTGTTGTGCTGAGGTGCGTGATTATCCTTTGATGTTTAGGCTTATGATGCGACCTAAAAATTGTACATAGCTGAGTAGTTGGGTTGCATCGCAGAATCAAAGACGGAATAACTGCAGCAGCAGCGTGCAGAAAAAGTGTGGCAGGGGACTCACATTGCATACCTCTGAGATGCCACAGCTATGGATCGAAACCTTGGTACTGGTACAGGTAACCTGCTGTTCACATCATAACTGGTGCCAGATGGTGCCAGATGTTCATCCCCGACGGCTTTGTCCATGTCCAAAATTTGATTTCAGTTCGAGTGGTTCATCAATTTCCTCACCCATGCCCCATTGGACAAGCCCAGATTTTATCGCAATTTCGTGGATATCATGCAACTATATCTTGATCCCACTATTGTAGTTGGTTTTATACCCCTATTATTATCCCCATTCTTGTTGATGAACCCGACCTCTGCATGAAGGGAACATTTACAGGAACATCTAGAGGAACCTCCAATATTTCGTCTTAAAAACTACCGTTTTCAGTTTCAATCTTCCCTCCGAGCAATCCAATTTGATCATAGGCGGGTTTGATTAAACACAGGGTAACCCAAATTCCAGTGCCTTATCCAAAAAAAATCCCTCGAATTATCATCAATTGAGGGACAAGTTAAAGCGATAGTTTCAGACATCCCCAGGTGGCCCCACCCCAGGTATGGTCATCCCATAATGGTGACCATGGAATCCTTGGTGAATGGATTGATGACCATTCCCCGATGAATGGGCGTATCATGGTTTTTGTACTCCAACTTTTGATTATAGATATTATAGCCAAGGCGATGCAACATAGATCCCATTTGTTTATCCCGGATTAAATCCCTATTTGTAAAGTTTACCATCCGGTCATCAAACGTGGCAGATGGGGGATTTTCCATTGCCAGAGGGAAAATCCCAGAAAGGTCACTGATAATCACCACGAATCACCATGAATAACCATGAATAACCATTATATAATCACTATTGTTAGTCATTATAATAGCTATTGTTAATAACAGTATTAACCATTATTATCCATTATTAGTGATTAGTTATTATCACCATTATTGTTAATCATTTATATCCATTATTAACCAATCATAACTTAATCATTATTAACAATGATTATTAATCATTAATTGTTAAGCATTTTAATCATTAATCACTATTATTAATCAATATGAATCATTATTAACCATCATCCATAACTTAGGGATCCCCCCATCTTGAGGAGACGCATGACCTACTACTGTGGACTTGGGATCGCTTCTGTGGGCCTGAAACGGTGATCTTTTCAGTGCCCACGGTGGTTTCACCAACCATGATATGAGGATGTCACCTGGGGATGTTATGGGGATATAAAATATTGGATCTATCACCAACATATGATTTGAGAGTGTCAACAATGGTTGATTTATCTTCAATGTTTTTGCATTAAAACATATGGAGTAATATGATGATTAACCAGTGGATTTGGGGTATTACTGTAATATTACCTAGTTTTTGGAGGACCCGTGTGGAAGAATGCATCATGTGAGGTGAAACTTGAGCGACAAGATACAGAGAGACGCCGCCAACCTTTCACGCTGCAACATGCATGATGCAGGGTGCAGAGTGCTTTGTTTGCTGGCATCAGATGATGGTAGAAGCTGGTTCTCAAAATCTTCAAAATTATTCAACATATTTACGTATACTATATATATAATATATACATATCTAAAGTATATGTATATGTATAAAGTATACGTATGTATGTATGTAATGTGATGTGATGTTATGTATTGTATTGTTATGTTATGTATTGTATCTATGTATGTATGTACGTAGGTATGTATGTAATGTAATGTAATGTAATGTAATGTACTGTAATGTATGTAATGTAGTGTAGTGTAGTGTAGTGTAGTGTAGTGCAGTTTAATGTAATGTAATGTAATGTAATGTATGTAATGTAAGTAAGTAAGTAAGCAAGCAAGCAAGTAAGTACTTACTGTATGTAATGTTATGTTATGTTATGTATATGTATATGTATATGTATATGTACATGTATATGTATATGTATGTGTATGTGTATGTGTATGTGTATGTGTATGTGTATATGTATATGTATATGTATGTAATATGTAATATGTATATGTATATGTATATACATACCACAGGAGTCTTGGGGCCCAGGGACATTCAGTCTTATCCGATGTTTTTCGTGGAAAAACCAGTGCATTTTCGCTCCAGGTATTCATCAATCGGCCATTCTCCTGGAATTTCTTCGTGAAGGTTCATGACTCCAACCTCTTCGAGGCCCACATTTCTTTGCCTGTTGGCCAGACCAGGCATAGGTCGAAAGTGAACAGGCCCAAACATTTGATTTGGCTTGCTGAAGATCCCAACAAGATAGGTTGGTGGGTTCATATGTTTTTTTTTAAACGTCCCCCTATGTGGGATTCTCGATCCCCGATGACGAACATTCTTTTTGGGTCGAAAGTTGAAGGCACCAGATGTTGCAGTTCCCTCAAGGATGATTTGGGTGCGACAATGGGGATACCACCAGTTATAGCTATCAAATAACAAGGATAATGATGATCAAGCATCACACTTTTGTGTTGGTCATTCGCAGACTAGGACCTGACAAGGGCTAGTAGACGTCCCAGCTTGGTTTCTATCCCCCTAGAGAAGTGGCTCTGGTCAAAATCCATATCCTATCATATTCCTAGTGATTCCTAGTGTATGATGTGTATTGGTCAGCATCCACATTGTGGGTCAATCTCATTCACCCGTATTTTAATCGTCGTTAGTGATGGTTGGTGTATTTTTGGTTGGCAGGTCATCCATGACTAATGACCAGCAGGGCCGGGACAGGTGGAGCAATTGGACGAGGAGAAGGACTTCAACCCTTGTGGATTGGAAGAGGTGGGCCACTGGACCTCTGGCTTCCTTGTTTTTTTCTTTGAGCGAAACTTGGCTTGAGTTTTTTTCTGGTTGGTGGTTTGGAACATTTTTTATTTTCCATATATTGGGAAAAATCATCCCAACTGACTTTCATATTTTTCAGACGGGTAGGTATACCACCAACCAGTTGTTCATGATCATTTTCAATCATATTTTTTCGATGTCGGGTTTCAGTTGATTTTTCCTTGGACACCACTTGTATCGCCGCGATTTATGTCCCCTCTGTGTCTATATGAAGGTAAGATTTCCGGAACCTCATCCCTTATGTTTACCGGCAAAGACCATAGGTTCCTGTTGAATTTCTTAAAATGTGTATACCATATATATATAATGATATTATATGTATATACACAATACAATAAATCCAATGACTGATTCAGTACCAACGGGGTGCTGCAAAGCCTTCGCATCGTCAGATCTATATCCACAAAGTGAGCCGGAAGGTGCTGAAATGAAGGCGCAGACAGCAAGACGGCAAACAGCAAAGCACAACATGGGCATATCCAATGGCACATCCCAAACTTTGTTTGCGGGATTCAAGCCAAATTTTAAGGCATGACTTTGTGGGATAGGGCGTCAGATGTGGGGTGTACATTCAATCATTGCTTTGTTTCCAGAATGGAGTGCCTGAAACATCACAAGAACAGTTTATCAAATTTGGTACGGTGGAACGCATCAGGCGTGCAAAAGCGCAAAAGCAGCAAACCAAACAACCTAGAGTGAAGATGAGACACTAATATGTATATACATAGATAATCATAGATATATGTATGTATACATGCTTAAATGCGATAATGTATACCTGATCATCCAGTGCGGAGCTTCGTTGGCACAGGCCACACCTGGAGATCCCTCTGCCTCCTGCAAGTAAATAGTTTTTTTTTTTAAAAAAAAAAAACACTTTTATCTATACAGATGTAGGCGCGCACACACACACAAACACTATCATCGCAACAAATCCCCGGAATTTCATTTGCTGTCATTTTAGATTGCCCTGGGATGCCGCAGGTAGTCGAGACAAGCGGAACAAAAATGATGTCGCGGCTTGAGCGCGGCTGACGTCGCAATGTTGCCATTGTCGTTATTGTCGTTGCAGAAACTGCGGACCGGGCGAACGTTTTTCAGGGTTGGAAATTCGATGAGATCACTGACCTTGGCAAGAGGAAAACCTTCCTCTTGCTGTTGAAGTTGGTTGCAGTATGGTTTCATACAATCTCTTTAACACCGGAACTGTACATTGTCCAACATGAAGACGTTCAAACGGTGTTCTTCTCGTGGTTCCTAGCCATAAAGGCTCAAATACTGCAGCAACCTCCGACTGGAGTGTTGAACATTGATGAATGCAAGCAATTTGGACTAAGTTTCCAGATTTCTATTCTCCTATAATTTTTCCACACATCTTGATCTTCTGCCTGGAGATGTGGATTTGAACAGGCCCCTAAGCCCTAAGCCCCCAAAAGTGCTGCCAGGCAAACAACCCTTTCTCTCGCTTCCTGCTCTGTGCGATGGCTGGTGGATGAGTGAGACCAGCTATGGTCGCTTTGTAGCGGGCCAACAGAATGCCTCCACTGAGCTTGCCCAAGGCACCTGTGGAGCACGCCAGTTCCGCACGCGCGGTACCGGCGGCCATACCGGCTGTGCCATCCCACGAGGTCAGAGGATTGAAAGGGCCGCCAAGTACTTTGAATGGCTATGTTTCGCCTCTGCAAAGTGCAGGAACTCAGGGCTGTCAGGGCCCCAATGGTGTTGGACTTAGTGCACCCAAAACAGCTCCCCCTGCACTCCCTGCACCTGGAGTATCGGGAAGCGGTGGAAGCGGTGCAGCATTGAGTCTGCCTGCACTGCCGAAACTCACCCCGCCGCCGCCGCCTCGGGCTCTGTTGAAACCACCGGTGGTTGATTTGATGAGCAACAGTGGCTTGGATAGATGGCCTGATGGCCTGCCCGATTTTTTTTTACGGATCTTTTTTTGACACACCAGTGATTGCTTTGTGACAATGTCCAAACTGTAGTCACTGTAATTGTAGTCAGTGAAGAGAAAAGAAATAGAGAGAGAGAGAGACAGAGCGAGATTGAGAAAAGGGCCCGTGCTTCGTAGAAGTGGGTACTTGTCTCAGCTCAAGAAGGACACTTCTTTTGTCATCTTCGATCCATTCTGAAGTTGTTGATCAGGTAGCCACGGAAGTGACGGAGATGATTTGGTGTCGGCTGTTAGTTCAGTGACTTGGACCGGCACTTTTTTTCATCGCAGTTTTTTAGGCTTTTTAGGCGTTTTTACCATCCCCACTGACTAGGCTGAGATGCCAATTTCAACCAGCCCAAATTGGATGTGCATGGCTTTGTTAAGCCATCAACATCATTCACCGAGGTATCGAAACAGGCAGAGATGGAGCCCGTGCGAAAGCTGCGCCCGTAGCTTGGTGTGGTTTCCTTCCCTACATCCACCATTGGACCATGGTTTCTGTGGTGTGAAACATCGGGGGAAGGGATCAGCTGAAGGATTTCTCGAAAAAACAGCTCCATTTGGGCTAGGGGGATTTCCCCGAAACCGGAGCCGCATGTAGCAAGCACCAGCTGACAGGAGCTGTAGGTGCCGCAGGTGAACATTGATCCTTGTTCTGTGGCTGTAAAAAAACATGAAGTCCCAATTAATCCATTCATCCATAATCCATTCATGATCCCATGATATTCTATGTAACTTGACCATGGTACATATATGTACCAAGTCACCAAGGAAAACCATGGAAAATCTGAGGCCACCTCTGGGTGACTCCCCGTTTCCAGCGCCTATATTTTGTGGCGAGGGACCGGAGCAGAGCAGTGCATCAACTGCCGATGCTTGGATGGATGGAATACATGCCGATGGTAAAGTCTTGGTTGTAGCATGAAAGATCAGATGTTTCAACATGTAACATGTTGTAACATGTTGTAATGTGTTGTAATGTGTTGTACAGTATTTATGATTCCTCAGGACGTGGCGCATGAAGTGCAGCTGCCCATGTCGGCCACGGACTCCGCCGTGCAAGTTGCTGAGGAAGGGCTATGACGGCTATATATGAAAAATGAATATAACATGAATAAAAATGGCAGGCAAAGAGGCAAAGATCAGAAGTTGTGTCAAAGATATTCAAGCATTTTCGGATTTTCGAGTCAGACTTGGATGACTGGATGCCATTTTTTTCCACTCGTGATATTTGGGACTGATGAGCCACCAGTCAGATCTCCAATATGCGATCATGGCATTGTCCAAACACAGGATGGTTTATGGATGGTTTCAATGGTGGTTTCAATGGTTTCCACCTAAGGCTTCCATTTTCAACGCATGGGAGGAGCATGGAGAGAGCGTGGACCAGCTGGAAGAGCTTGAGGATGGTGAGGACGGCAATTCGATCAGGATTGGAGGATTGGATGGTAAAATGATGGTCCAATCTGTAGAAAAAAGATGAAAGAAGCAGAACTTGCCCTGCCGGAGGATGTTCCTCCAGAGATCGCAGTGGGCAAGAAGCTCGAAGCAGCTGCGAAGGCGAGTTGGGTGCAGATTGGCGGCCGATAGGTGTGTTGATTAAAGGAGGGGCCTGGGCCCAAAGAATCCACCAAATTGGTCTATGTTAGTCGGAAAACCATTCTTGAGGTACCCAATGTTTCAGCAGCAGTTGAACCGGGGCACAGAATTGTGCATGTTTGAAGTGAAACAGAATGTCCATGTATGTCCCAGAAAAAAATGGTAAAATGGGGGTTTCAGGGCGTGTATGTTGGTATGTTGCTTGTTATGATTTTGTGTTGGGGTTCAATGTTTCATCCTTGGTTTTGATGATTTTTCAGGTGGGGTTTTGGGGGTCATTTTGATGCTAAAGTGATGTGTCAATGTTTGGTTCAGATGAGGGTAGGATTTGTTTAGGCTGTTGGGGTTTGTGTTTTGGTTCAGATGAGGGAGATACTGTGGATAGTGTACTTGTGGTTGTCGTGTTTTATTGTCAAGGTATGTCTTGTCTTTTTTTGGGTATGATTTTATTGTGTTTCCTTATCATCAGTTTCAAGACAGAACATTCAACTTGATATCTTTCAAAAGGTTCCATGTCTTTCAACATCTTTCATTTTTTATTCTCTCATTCTCGTCTTTTTTGGTGGCGTTTTTTCTTGGTTGTGTTTTGATTTGAACGTCTTTCGCTTCGCCTCATTTTTTGCGGACTTCTTCATGGACTTTCTGGATTTCGTCGTGGGCGCCCAGATGAGATGTGCGCGCTGTTTCGTTTGCATGGAAGCATCACTTTTGAGGACATATTGCGTTTCTTGAGGCACTATGTACACTCTATGTACACATTGTGGCATTACACTACACCCAGAGATGTTGATTGCTTTCTCCCGCAGCAGACAGGCTCACAAATGCTCACAAGATAAGATGAGTTCTACTTGCGGCATGTGTTGCACTATGAACAAGTCAACGCATCAAGAAATCGTAAAGTGCTTGAGCTCCAGCACAGTCCCAGTTCTATCAGTTCTGGAGATTTCCGCCATGGGTATGTCGCGTTGCCTCATTGCCCGATGTTGTGGTTTTCGGCTTCTCATGTCAGGCCGACGAATCCACCGTTGCTTCTCAAACAACGCTCCAGAGAAGGAGCCGACCACGAAACAGCAGATTGGAAAGTGGTTGGTTGGTGGTGGTGGCTCGTTGGCCATCGTGACCTTTGGATGGGATATGTGGCGGCATCGTCAAGAACAAGAACGGCATCGTCAAGAACAAGAACGGCATCGTCAAGAACAAGAACGGCATCGTCAAGAACAAGAGCGAGTGAAGAATATCATTCTGAGGGCCTCTTTTACAGCCCGTGAGCCACGTGTCAAGATTAAACGGAAGATAATCAAGGCGTCCAAGCACCACCTTTTTTTTGTTGTGTTTGCCCCTGCGTTTCTTGACAGAAGGGATTTGTTCTTGAGATAGGTGTTATTTCATGTCATACTGGCATTTTGAATTTGATGCACTATGCTCACTATGCACTGTGGCAGGACAAACTGCACCAGTTGTTGGACTTGGACGACCCCCGCCCAATCCTCATCTGGGGGAACCATGAAGTTGGCAAGAGCACCATCCTTTGGGAAGTGTTGCAGGAGAAACAGTGGAACAATGGAGTGCTCCACATCAAGCTCACGCAGAACAACCACTTGGCCACGGAAAAGGTGATGAGCGCGTTGGCAGTGCTCCATGAAGAGGAGGTGGTGCATGGTTTGAGAGGTGCCAAGACAAGAATGGGACGAAAACCCATCATCATCCTTGAAGTTCCTCGTGGTGTCTTCGAGCCATCTGTGATGAGCAGCGTCTCCGCCTTTGCGAAGTCATGGGGCTTTGATGACGAAGTTGCCAAAGTGCTGGTGATGGTCAGTTCTGCAGTGTCAGCCATGGCTTTTGACGCAGACGGTCGTGAGCGCCGATTCTTCGTTCCACCACTGACGAGTGAAGAACTCTCGCAGAAGGAGGCCATAATGAAGAGCTTCAGTTCATGTGGTAATTGTTCAGTCACCTTCAATCACTTTAGTGCTTTTTGTTGGTGCTACTTCTGGCATGGGTTGGGATGTTTGCAGATGGACATCTCCTTGTCAGGTTGAGGAATTCCTACATCATCATGGCGGTGAAGAGGCCTCCACGCACAAGAGCGACATGATTCAACTCACAGGTGGCAACATCGGTGTAATGGAGGACAAGGGTCATGAAACCATGGGACAACAACCCGAAACATCAACGAACGTTGAAACCTTGAAACTTGCCCACATCTCCTGCAGGACGTGGCGCAAAATGCCAAAGAGACATCATGGGAAGAAGCAAAGTCCAAACGGCTTGTGGTGCAAGAATATCAGGTCGAGAAGTTCTTGGGCATTGACAACCAAGGTGGCTTTGGCCCCGAAAAGGCGAGGATGGCACGCACCTTGGCCAAGGTGCGTGCCATCCTCGCCTTTTCGGGGACAACAACCCGAAACATCAACGAACGTTGAAACCTTGAAACTTGCCCACATCTCCTGCAGGACGTGGCGCAAAAGGCCAAAGAGACATCATGGGAAGAAGCAAAGTCCGAACGGCTTGTGGTGCAAGAATATCAGGTCGAGAAGTTCTTGGGCATTGACAACCAAGGTGGCTTTGGCCCCAAAGAGGCGAGGAGGGCACGCACCTTGGCCAAGGCCGTGGCGCATAGCTCCTTCGAGCAGTGTGTCGATGCCAAGCGGTTCATGAAGCACTTCACGCCTGCGCACATGGCCGCAGCGGTGCGGCAACAAGGAGCTCATTGCATCTATGTGGATGCGCGGGCAGAGGGGCAACGCTACTGCGCAGTGTCCCGCACAGTGCATGACCTTTTGAAGAAGGTCTGAAGGCGGAAGTGGCAGTGGCGTGTGAATGAGGGTGCTTTGTTCCTTGTAGGACCAGTAGGACTTTTGGATTGCAGGTCGGGTGCAATCCGCTATGCACTGAAGGTGCCATTCGTGATTCATGGATGGTGCAATCCGCATTGCGTCCAACCAGACTGGCAAAACACAGAAAGGTGATGATTTTTATCGGGGTTGCACCTACCCTTCAATCCGGGATGCATTCTATCTGCGCTGCACAATGCACCGGTGGGACAGACTGCACAGTGTTCCAAGACTGGATGAGCAAAAGTGAAATGAAATGGCAGAGATTGAAGATTGGTTTGTTTCGCAGTTGTTGGATTGGCACTCTCAAATGTAGCATTCTTCAGGCCCAGAAGTTTGGTGATGATATCAACCACTTTTCACTGCTTTACTGTATCCAATTGCATCCAATTGCCCTCTTCCACTTGCCGAATGCGTCCGCGCCAAGGTTGTGAAGACATCAGGGACACCATCTATTAGAAGGTCAATCCCAGCATTTGTCATAATGCAAGATTTTGGAAACGGGTTTTATCAAAGCCTTGAAGCAGCGAACTATTCAAACAGCCTTCAAAACCTGATTGTTTCGGTGAAAATCCAAACAAAGATTTGCTGGAATGACATTTCCAAGCAGTCTCCAAAACTTGACGTTGGTGATGATTAATTTAGCAATCTTTTGGGGGAGCATTCTGTCCATACCCCTTGAGCATGTATTGGTTCATATGCACCACACACCCGCGCAAACCCACAGACCCTTTAATCCTCCCGATTTGTTCATCTTGTTTCTTCAGGGAAATCAAGTTTCGTCGGAGTGGTCTGGAGCATCCAACGGGTTGGGACGGTGTGGCAGGGTTAATGTTTATTATGTGTATATATATATAGGCATATGTGATGAAATAGTTCAAGTTGTTTTTCGTGGAAACGAAGAGAGACAAACCATCCGCCCTGCGGGAGTTGATGGCAGATGAGCATGTTTTTTGGGTAATGAGGCTTCGCCATACTGCTAACTTCAACTGAAGGCAATGCAGTTGCAGTTTCCCAACAAGCTGCAACAACGACAATGGCATTCTAACAACTTTGACAGCGGCAGGAACAGTATTCAACAAGTGTCCTAAACTGGTCTTTTCGAATTTCTTTTCACATCATTTTGGGACACCTCATTTGCGAACACAGAACACCCCAAAGATACTTAAAGACAAGTCGCCTTATGTAATTAAGATTTGATATGCCCTGCTATTTAGTAATTGATGGTAAGAAACAAGAAATGGATGAGGACATCTTTGACCAACTTGTTGAAGCACTCAATCCAGAAACAGTCCAAGAACCCCCAATCCAAACCTCTACAAGATGGAAACCCGATGGAACTTATGACAGCAAACCATTAGACCCCGAATACTTCTCAAAATACTATCAAAAGAAACTCTCAACACCCTTCAAGTGTCCCGACTGCGGACGCACCATTTCGTCCAAATCCAATTTATCCAAACACCGTCAAACCAACGTTTGTATGAGAAACAGATGCCAATGTTGAAAGGTGCTTTAAGACACCTTACGGCACGTTTCGTTCAAAGGGTTTTCCAATCCAAAATTTTCTCAATAACAAACATTTTTATTGAGAAGGTTTTTATGTTGAAGTCCAACCCCAATCCCAGAAATTCCAACAGGCAACCAATACCCAAAACTACTTAAAGAAATGCCACCTTATAGGGTAAGGAGTAAATGGCAGAGGATACAAGGTTGAAACATTCAACAGAGAGATTTTATGTTAAAAATCAATCAGACAACCAATCCAATCAACCGCAACATCCTCAACAAACAATGGAAACTGAAAAACTACTTAAAGAAACATCCACTAATAATAATATAGAATATACTATAATGGACGCTTCACAGCAGATTGTTTTAGATTACCTTTTATCATCCGAACAGGGTGAGATATTGAAACGGAATGGACAGGAACTCAAGAAACTCAAGATTGGAGACAAGACCTACAACTTTGAAAGGGGAAAACCCATTTCAAAGAGGTTGATTACCAAGTTCAACAAAATTAAGCAGACTATGGACTACAAAAAGTATGAACTGAAAGAGAAGAGAGGCATTAGATGGGTCAATCTTGACAAGAACAAAGCACTCACAGGCATCCAAATGAGA